TTCATGTCATTCAGAAACAAAGTGACAGCAGTTTGAATGTGAGTCTGTTTGCACGGCAGCTGTGTTATTATGAAGACTGGATTTCCATTTCTTATCCATTTACTAAATGAAACTTTTCCTTTGTAGAGACAATAGAGAAGTGAATGAACTCAACAAGGGCAGTAATTGTCCTGTATATGTTCTAGTTGTTCCAACATAAACTGAGCAACAGTGTAGAAACTCCCTGCAGGATGTGAATGAAAGCAGACACTGCATTAGAGCACGTGTGTGTAACGCAGCGATTATTTGAATTATTTGAATTTCACCTAAACACTCCCACAGTAACAGCTTGCCCAGCTTCAGCTCCTGTATATTAATCCAGGAACATGTTTAAAGCTTTTGTTCTATATCTGCTCTGACAAATGAAGCTCATACATTTATATAGAGAGGAGGAGAGATGCAGTGAAAGGAGAGATTAGATCTAAACAGGACAACCAAACTACAAGTCAGTCATTGCCAACATGTTTTGTTATGAAACATCATGAACTCTCAAGGGTTTCTAAGAAATGGTTGAACTGCATTCCAGTCACACGAACAAATGCAGCAGATTCCCCCATGAATGGAAATCTACCCTCACGACACAAGTGTGTGTTAGATTACAACTTCTTATTATTCCTTCAGATACACACATGCATTGTGTACATTGTGTGGTTCAGGTGGATTACATTATTAAATCATCATTAAATCTTCATTATAAGTAATTAAATTATCTTCAGTTACAATCACAAATATTTTCCCAACTGAAAGCACCCCCTGCACACACACAAACACACACAAACACACACACACACGAACTTCGTTCTTATAAAACAAAACTTAATGTTTTACTTTCTATTTCTCGCATTTTTCTTTTTTCAAAAATTCATTAGAACTTATAATAACCAATAAAAACTTCTGAATCCCAAACAGATTTATTTATACTTGTTTGCTGTGATGTCATCTTGGCACAGAATCCTGAATCAGAGACTCAATTAAACAGGAAACACGGAGAAAGTGTACACAAGTAACAAGAGAGCAGAAACTTTGCATCCACATGTGAAAGTCAAGTGAGGTGGAAGAACAGGCCCTTTACTCAGATCTGAGATATTGATTTGACAAGTAATTTAGTTATAGTGTTTAAATGTAAATTAACCCTTGTCCACTCCTCAAATTTACACATAGATGTGATCACAGAAACAAACAACAAGACAGCAGCTTGTCTTTCTGCAGCAGCTGAGGTGGTTTGGTCTACTCACTTCTATTAAATCTTCATTAAATCTTCATTATAAGTAATTAAATTATCTTCAGTTACAATCACAAATATTTTCCCAACTGAAAGCACCCCCTGCACACACACAAACAGTGATATACTCACTTCTATTGATGTTATTCTGTGTGTCTGTATCACAACCTGGTACGCCAACACCACAAAGCTCTATGGAGGAGGGTCAGATCACAACGTATCACCTGTCTGAACTGCCAGTCATTCGGGACAGCAGTGGAGGCATGGCGGAGGTATGGACTGATTTTACCCATGTGTCACCACACCCATCCTCATGCACTCATATGCAGTTACACTTGCCCAACATGGAGACAAACACAAATAAACACTGTACACACACGAACACTCCCAAAACATACTCTATACCCCCAGGCCAGGAACCATCACCCCCACAGGGGCAATCTGCCCCAGACCCAGGAGATGGTG